GACTAGCCGGAGCAACTTATATCCCTACCCCTACCCTAGAGCTAAGCCATGCGCGAGTAGACCCCGTCATATACCTGACAGACCCCCCCAGCCCAGTATCGTAATTTGGGCGTATGTGTGTATGCCCAGAGGCTATGTATGTTTGTATGAGCCCATAGGGCCATGTGTTTTGTATCTGCCCGAAGGCTATGTGTGCTCTGTGTACCTGTATAGCGAGATGTATGTGCCCGAAGGCCAGATATGTGCAGTGTATGTGTGCTCTGTGTAACTGTATAGCGAGATGTATGTGCCCGAAGGCCAGATATATGCAGAGCTATGTAGAGGGAACTATATGTTCGTTTGAAGAGATGACAGGCCAAGCTGGACAAGAACCCCAAGTCCCAAGCCAGACTCGAACCCATGATCTATGACATGTGACGGGAAGACTCTACCATTTCAGCAACAATCGCAAAAGGCCCCTGTGTGTGATATGCCAGACTGCGGAGATCAACAGAACAATGACGAGCAACAGCCACAAGCAACCCACGCAGTATTAAGACCCGACCTACAACACCATGGACAACCCTTGGGTGGTGCGCAGGCAGCGTCTGTATAAGCTTACCGTATGTCAGCCCAAGGGAACGAGTGTCCAGCCGTGCTTCAATCTAACGCCCTGCCGGTGTCCATGCGCAAGGCTGCAATTGAGTTTTGAACCCTCAACCTCATACCACAATGTGCATTTCCAACCGGTGCTCTAAAACTGAGCTACATCAAAGGCCTCGCTGCACTACTCTCGACATGCACAAAAGACAAAAATATTGCCGGTGCATCTTTCCATCTTCTAGCGGAAGATTCACTCTCGTTTTGCACATTTCGAGAGTAGTGCAGTGAGGCCCCAACTCTCTTTTATCCTTTTTGCAACCTGATGTACAATGATCCCGGTTCTTTTTTTTTTTTTTTTTTTTTTKTCCTTGTTCAATGTGTGCGTAAAACCTTGCATAAACCCTTAGAACCTCTCGAATCCCATTGATTGGGCCTCTCGCGGCTCGCCACCAATACTTCTCTTCACAATGTTCACCATCTCACGAAATTCAGCCCCTTCAACACACTCCCTATCTCCCCCAACAAGCTTTCTGCCCCGCCCCCTTTTTTGAAACAACGGCAGACGCGGCACGTTTTGTGTTCGAATAGGCAAAAAAAAACACGAAATGGCACTGCAGGAATGGGCACAGTTTGAAAAGGCAAAAAAAACAGCAGCAAGCGGTAATGTCAGACCCCCAGTCTGAAAAAGTGGTAATGACAGCGCCAGGGCCGACATGGTCCCAGACAGTCCCGTGCCGTTGTAGGCCAGTCCCAGGCCGTCCCTTCCCATCCCCTCCCAGCTCCTTCTCTGCCCGTTACGGTGCACTTCCCGTGTCTCCCTTTCGTGTCTCTCTCCCTCCGACGTCGTAGGCCGTCCCGTCCCCTGCTGCCATGTGCTCTCTGTCTTACGACGTGGCAGCGTGTCGCCCTTACTCCAACGCGCCACCCGTGACCTCTTTTGTGTGTTTGTGTGTGCATGCATGAGAGAGAGAGGGAGAGACCGAGAGAGAGAGAGAGAGAGAGAGAGAGAGAGAGAGAGAGAGAGAGAGAGAGAGAGAGAGAGAGAGAGAGCTTTTTCAAATGAATATTGCCATATTTCTGCGCTGTATAGAAATATGGCCAAATTCATTCAGAAAAGGTGTTCTTTTCCGAATGAATATTGCCATATTTCTGGGGTGGATTCAGCACAGAAATATGGCAA